AGCTTTCTTGAGTTTGTCCAAACCAGACCAATTTTTAGCCTCGGCAATCTAATATAAAAGAGCAAAAAATAAACAGACTAAAAATTCCAAAAACAAATCGGCTATCGGTAAACCACTCAATTTATTTGCAAAAATGTAGTTTATTGGATGATAGGTCTCATTTCTGACCAAGATTTAGGAGACTGTAAACGCCCAAATGGGTGTTCATTCCAATGTAACACTTCTCATTGATTATATAAAGAAATAAGAAACATAACATCTAGTTCTCAATGTGACGTTTAGCAGTTAAGATGCACTGACTTACTAAATCAAGCTCATACACTTTTCTACACTAACAGATGTCATTTCCCACTTTGGGACTGTTTTGATTACCCAGGTATTAGGATTAGGGTTGAAAACTGGTGTCTTTGTGCGGCTAAAGTTTAGAAATGAGACAAACAGTATAAAATTAGTGTAGTCGTAAATCTTTCCCAATTTAGGTGGCTCGGATATGTGTTATGTGGGCCCAACCACCACCTACCTCGACGGGTGATATTGTCTGGTATCGAAGTACGTTAGAGTAAAGCTAGAAGCTACCGAACCAAGGCGTGGCATCAGTCGTTGATATAAGCTACAATTGTACTAAGCCATGTTAATGGGTGTGATTATCGTAATTAGTGATTAGGAACGTAGAATGACATAACTCAAAATCATTTCCAATGGCGCAGGTACATTTACTCTTTTTCGTTCTTTGGATTCCAAATCTCTAGACTCTTTATAACCTTCTTATCTGATCAACTAATACTTCTGCAAAACGTATCTTTGATACCTGATATCTTTCATCACCAATCATACTGTTACTAACTCTGAAAGCCTAGAATTCGTTCTAACAACTTCGTTTCTGTGTGCTTATGGTGTATGGAAACTTAAACTGATTTACATAGGTCCTAAATTCTACGTCGCGTTTGACTAGTTAAATATTTTTTGAAATGCCCAATGCCACAGAAACGATGTTTTAGACATTTTGTGAACTTTAGAATTCAATTATATTTTCTACTTTTAGTAAAACTATTTAAGTTATAAAAGAACTATTATGACTAAAACAAATGACCTATCAAGAATTGACTTGGTTAACTTTAATTACTGCCAATTTATTTTCTAAACAAATTGACAAAGATTAAGTAGCAATTCACGAAAGTTCCCTATATGGTAACTAGAGTTTCCATGATAAAACATTATCAACAAAACGTAAATGCATGAAGATTAATTCGAATGAACGAAAATTTTTAGAAACTTTTAACCAACACAACAAGTTCATGCCAAACATATGTGTGTTGAAAATCTCAGACTATGTATAAATAACTTATTAATCAATATGAAATATCCGACATCAGAAGTGTTTTTACTAAATACGAAAAAGTTATGATTTTTTCTTCTTTTTCTTATGAATTCAGTTGGTTATTCAAAACTTTTATGCATTTTAATGAAGCTTTTGGAATCCACATATTGGTAATCCATATATTGGTAATATCATTGTCATAATAATGATGGTGAACGTAGTATGTAATATTTTCCAAACAAAAGATTGACTCAGCCTATCCCTGATTTCATGTTTAACAACCCTTAAATATATTTTTTAAAGTCACACTATTCAATCTATGTAAAAGTTATAATTAAAACGAAACAAGTACCCGAGCTCCCAATTTTGGGGAAAATTTGGCACATTTTGGGGAAATTCTGGGGAAATTTAGGGAAAATGGCACAAAAACCCCAAAATTTCCCCAGACCTGGGGAAATTCCCCAAAAATTCCCTTTTAACCTTGGTCAATGTCAGTTGACTTTGGGGGTTTCCCCGAAATTTCCCAAAAGTTCCCCAAACATTAGTGAAAGTCATTTGACTTCGGGATTTTCCCCAAAATACCCCAAAACTTCCTTAGAATGGGAAGCTCGGGTATTTTTAGGGAATACATTAGATTACTTAATAAAAACTACACATAGCTAAGATTGGAAACTTACATTTCAGAAAAGATTATACGCTTATTAGCTTTGTATCACTATGAAATGCACTTGTATAGGCCCAAATAACTGATATTTTTATGATAATTTATGAACATGTAAAGTAATAACAGGCACAAAATAATCACTAACAATGTTTTATCTTGATATTCATTGTCACAAATAAATTTTTTAATCCAGAAAATGCCTATACACAATCATAAGAGGTAAAGGAAAGAGGAATTCAATTCTCAATTTCAGAAGCAATATTCTATTTAAGTGACCAGTTTTGGTGCAACATAATCGTTTAGTTATTTAAAAGCAATTTTACTAGAAATTTCAAACCAAAAATAACTTTAATTTTTATGCCCTCAGAATATGTAAACTTGATTTAATGATAAGTAACTTTATGATCTTGCTTTTGTGAATATTCTGATATTTACTAGTATATTTTAACAAACACACTTACAAAACAACCATTTAAATGTTAAACTGACCTCAATAGCATCATCCCATTTAAGTAGATCCTTGTATAATTTTATAACATCTTCAATAGAATTTTGTGATAAAAATATGTTCTCGGCTGCTCGAAAGTCCTTCTCAAGGATAGCAATGCATGCCTGAACATTCGACTTGGATAATTTGTTTTCCATTAATAGGTTTCGAGTTTGCCTCAAATATCGTGACTTGCTCACACAACCTAAAGAAGCAAAGGACTGTTCTGAAATCAGTAAATTTCCCGCCTTTAAAGAGGCAAATCCTAGTTTAGTCCACATAGATTTTGTTTCAGGTGTTACATCTAAGCTTTCCAAAAATGAAACTGCTCTTTCGAGGTCTCCGTCATCCATTGCAGTACCAAATTCAATACGACTATCGTCCAAAGCATAAGTAACAGAGTTCACGCCCTCATTTATCAAAACCTCAGTCCTGCCATTCTGACGTACAACATCTGTGATATCTCCACCCCTCAACGGGATGGATGTCATTCTGTCAGTCGATTCAGTGTTGTACCAAATGCAAAGACTATCTTTGGACTGAGCAATTATGACATCACTCTGAGGAACCCACTGTACATAGTAGCAAACGTTAAGTAGCATAACTTTTACACCTGTTTCTATATCGAATAGAATAAGTTGAAGCTTCTTGTCTCGAAAAATTAGCTTTTGTCCAGTTTCATTTAATTCAATCCAATCAATTTTTCTATCATGAGAAACGTGTGCAACATTTGACCCTGTTATAAAATCAAAAATAGCTATTGTCTTCAGATCTAACATATAGGCAATTTTTTTACATGTACAATTATTGCTGGACTTTCGTTCGTTCACTCGAACACTTATTAGAAACGGAGTGGTAAATTCAGTTCTAACTGAGCCTAATACTTCATTAACTCCATATTCAATCACATACAATTCACCAGAACCAAATATTATGCAAAATTTATCATAACCAAAATAGAAGCGCTCCTTGGGGTTCTTTCTACTCCATGGAACTTCACTTAACTGATTCTCACGAAGATCACCAAGTATCAGAGTATTTGATGTATGTGTGACCAAGTATCGATTTTTACCCATTACTTTTACATCGTCGATTTCATAGCCGAATTTCGACTGAAGAACAATTGTGTTATTGGATTTCAAGTTTCTTACAATAACCTGACTAGGTCCAACATAATTTAATTCAAAAATTTTCTTGTATAATTTCTTTTTCACACAACAGTCAAATAGGTCAACTCCACCACAATAGGTCCCAACAACCAATTTTGAACCGTCTTGCTTCCAGGCAATAGCCGTTATAGTGTATAGATTTTTTATTTCTTTCAACTTACATTCATCCCATCCACCTTTACGAGGGCTCCATGAGAGCACACGAATGCGGTTAAAGCTTCCGAATGCAACGACATGTCCACTAGGGTTGCATGACGCAATAGTAAATTCCTTTTCACTCTCATCTTTGCTGTAATCGAGTTGCTGTACAAGCTTTCCCTCTCTGTTATAGACATAGATACGTTTATCACAACCAGCAGCTAGAATTGTGGAACCAGCCCATGCTAAAGCATACGGGGCTGTGGGATGAGTCGTAAGTTTCCCTTGAGCATCACCTGAACCATCATCATCAAAAAAATATCGAATTATTTTCCCGTCTGCATGCCCAGAAATAAATCCTTTGCCCGTAATATTTGCTGAAATTGAAACAACATAAGAGTCAGCATTATATATGGTGGATGATTTATTTGTACGTGTGTTCGCAGCCCTAACCTTGCCATCAGCAAGGCCACAAATAATGGGTTGATTTACTGGCCATGCAATACATGTTACGGGACACTTTTGTGGAAATTTATTGCAAATTACTACTTTCTCATCCCATGACTCTCCAATTTTGTATACAAATATTATGTTGTCTGACTGTGCAATAGCAAGTTTGATAGAATCATGAGAAAATGCCATGCCTCGTACTTGAAATAAATTTCCATCATTTTTTGAATCAGAAGGTTTTGTAGAAAAACGTGTACGACGCTCTCCATTCTCATCAAAAATAATTACCAATCGATCACTAGTGCATACGGCTATTTTCTTGTTATTTGGAGACCAAGCAATGCTCTGTACCTTAGCTTCATATTCTTGTGTTGGTATGAGAGTTTTCAAATGTAAGAGATTCATCTCACATTCACAAGTTTGAAATATTATCACCACTTGTTACTATGATACCATTTCAATAAGCAATTGAATATACAATGCAATATTTAAATATGGTAGAAAAAGAGAACAGTCGACTACAAAACTAAGATATTTAGGTGTATAATCGCTGTATGAAGCTCCAAACATCCTTGTAAATAATATTATTATGCATAACATCTTTCTTTGGACAGTTAGTTAAGGTACAACTTCTCACTCTAGTAATCACTTAATTACCTTTTGAAGGTATAACTGTATGGTCTTATGAAGTTCAAGTTAAAAATACTAGAACCTCTAGATAAGTGAAATAATGGTGTGTTTTTAAAATGGGTCCTTTAGAGCGCAATTTCAAACATGAGCGCCTGGTGCTTCACCTCGGTTGTTTGGAGATCGGGATTCCAAAGATACGTATTACCGCGAAATATCCCACACACTTCATATGTATCCAATAAAATTTTTGGAAATCAACCGCTTGCATACCCATGTCTAGCTCAAACACGGTCGATAAAAATTCTGCTGTCTAAACCTGAGGTGGAAAGTAAAGTTTTAGCTGTCTGTTCTGCGTTCGATAAAATCCAATCCGATAAGGTTCTTGTGCATATTTATCTAACACTACATGCAGCTTACGCTTGATTCCTCGTTTATCAAAGATCTCGGTCTTGATAGTCTGGATCACATAGAAGTAATTATGGAAATTGAAAATGAATTCCGTAAGTTCTTTAAATCTACAAAATGTGTTGTTTCTTATGCAAACTGAGATTTAGATTATTGTCGTTTCTTGAGCGTCCTAAGTCTTAACATCCGCCAGTATTCAGACTTGTACAGTCAGGACAGAAGGCCTACTGCCTATGTTATTCCTTTCCTATTATGCTCCTGTAAGTGTCTAGTCTTTACTTAAATTAGTCTAATAAAGGTTTGGACACCACTGCTTCGAGTAAAAAGTGTGAAACATGTATGCTACGGATATTTTGTTAGTTCTTGGTTCTCATACTCGCTTACTATGTCCTCTGATATGTCCAGATCCTGTGAGAAGAAATAGAGGATATATTAGGTCCGAAATCATTTCTTAGTATTCTATGCATCAAAATCAGATCACTTAATCTGCGGTAGGACAAAGTAGAGAAGTCTAGCTTTTTAGGACGCTCGTTGTATGTTAAACTCCGGAGTTCTGGAATTGCACTGGTAGCTGCTCTCTGCATGTTTTTCCAATATATTCGAGTCACCTTTAGAACGGAAGCTTGCAGCCTGAACTAAATTCTCAGGTTTAGTTCTCACTAAGATTGTGTATACTGTAGTAAACATCTTAGTATCTAACATGGTGTATGTCCAACTGAAAGTTCATCGGGTTCTAAACTTCTTAGCTGCAACCTCCCGGCAGTGGTCATTTGTCTAAAGATCATGATTTACTGTTCTTGTGAGACCAGACTACGGGTACAGGCACTTCCCCTATGCTATATCTATTTGCCTTCTTATCAAACTGCATGTAGACACACGTAGGCGCATTAAAGTGTATCAGCCACTTTTTTAGACCAGCTGATCACAATATTTAAGTTTGTCTGAAGTACGCATGCATCTACGTCTCCTGATATTTTTACATCTTTGGCGTGTAGTATCATTGGGGAATCAACTATTGGGATTTCACTTACATACAGTATAAAAAGTAAAGGATGTAGGACAGCCTCACGGTACTCCACTGCGTACTAGTTTCCATTTGGAGCTTCTAGAATTCATTCTTACTTTTTGTCTACGACCTACTAGGAAATCCTTAAACAATTTCCGGAGAGGTCCGCAATGCCTAGATTTCCCAGTTTCAAGATCAGTATTTTTGTTGTTACTTTATCAAACGCTTTGCTGAAGTTTTTGTAGACAACACCCACTGATTTTTTGTTGTCTAGAGCCTCTATCCGTTGTTCCCTTGCTACAAAAGATTTCTTGTGCAAGATAAACCTTTTCTGAAATCGCATTGTTTGCTGTTTAACAATTTATTGGTTCCCACGAATGTAATTATGGCCTTTTTGACTATTCACACTGGTGAAACAGACAGGTCTGTAGCTTGATCCTTTTTGTATTGGATTGACGATTCCATCCTTCATTTTGCAGGTAACTCACCTTGACCACGTGATATATTGAATATCACTGTTAGTGGGGCTTTAATGTTTTTCAAGATTTTGGGGTGTAGTTCGTCCGATCCTGTTGACTTTTCCGTGACTAAAGTGATAAGGGCTTTAAGCACATCGTCTCGATTAAAGTCCACGGTAAACAGACGGTTTGTCGATTTTGGGTCTAGTTCTTCATCTAGAAGAGGCTCCTGAGTGAATACTGTCTCGAAATAGCTTGCCATGATACCTGCTTTTTCCTGATCATTCTCTATCATTTGAGATACACTCCCTTTTGTAATTAGGTTGGGAATCCAATGCTGCGTCCTTGTTCTGTAATTAATGTACGATAATAGCCTCTTAGGTTATTTATTTATTTGGGCACATAAGTATTGGTACAAGAGGACATCAAATATATATGCGCCACACAAAACAATGAGAATTCGAAGAGGAAAAAAAGAAAGTAAGGAGCGCTAAGAAAAGAACGATAACGAACAGATTAGTGTAAGGTAGTGTAATAATAATAATAATGGGGGAAACGGAAAGGTACAGTCACAAGAAGTCTTTCAGTTAAGGAAGAAACAACCATTTTTTATGAAGAAAACAACAGAAGGTTACAGCAGGATCGCCACTGGATTCTATTCTGAGCCATATCTGATAACGTCTCTAGCCACTGTGTCACACCATCTCTCGGACCCCAGTCAGGGAGTCGTGAAAGACCAAAAGAAGCCAGGCCTTTGCAGCTTCCTTTCATACCACTACATCATATCATAAACTGACCACTCCTCCTTTTTTCAACCGATCCTAGTGTCGGCAAATAAAGCACGTGGAATTCTCTGGGACGACATTCGTAGAACATGTTCAAGCCACGGAAGTCGGTGTTTCGAGATGGTGACACCAATTGCACTATCGTCTCTGTGCCCGAACACACGACACCAAACCTCTGCATTACTAACATGGTGTTGCCACTGGATATCAGCAATCCTTCGGAGACAGCGATGATCGAACTCAGAGAGTCGTCTAACATTCTCAACTCAGAGAGGCCAGGTTTCACAAGCATAGAGCAAAAGTGCTCTCATCGACGCATTGTAGATCCGACTTATCCCCCGATAGTTGTTACAGAAACGACATGAACTCTTTTTAAAGATAGGGACAACTATCGACTCATTCCATGACGTTGGTACACTCTCTAGTTCCCAAACCTTTGTAAACAACGTCGTCAATTCCTTATTCAAAAAGTCACCATCATCTTTAAAAAGAGCCGGAGGTAAGTCATCTGGGCCAGGTGATTTGTAACGCTTCAAGAGTTGGAGTTCCTTTAGGACTTTCGCCTCATTCGGTGGATCAGTCGTCACCGGCCATGGAGGGCAGGATAGTCCGACCGGTGTTGCCGAAGCAGCAGGCCAGTTAAACTGCTCTTCGAAGAATTCTGCCCATCGTCCGGAACTTCGATGGATGTTAGTGATTGGCATCCCATCATCCTCACAGATTGTTTCGCTCACACCAGATTTCCTGCTGCCAGTGGCTCGGATGAGTTGAAAGAGCTTTTGGTAGTTACCAGATGCAGCTGTTGCTTCCAGCTCATTAGCACGCTCCGACCACCAGGCTTCTCGGTCCTTACGCAAGCTTTGCCCGATTTCATTACGTAATATCCTTCGTTTGTGGTCAAACTCATGGTCACCTGGAGTATACCGACGAACTTCGATGAGTTGTAAGGGGCCTGAAACAACCCAGTGCCTATAAGCGGGACGTTTCGCGAACCCACAGCCGACTGTACCCGCCATTTTCATGGCGTCATGTAATTGTAACCAATGCTCATCTATACTTTTCGGTGGAATGGTAGCTAGCCTAGAAGCTAGCTCAGTTCGATACTTAGTTGCAACCAACTTGCTGACATCAATCCTTTGGTGGCAGTCACTTCGTTGGCCACTGAAAAGTAAGGTAGGATTGGGGCAGACCAGGGCATGATCAGAGTCCAGATAGGTATTCCAAAAAAACGGCAGTCTTGTACACAACCACGCCAGCAGTAGCTGATTGCGATGTGATCAATCTGAGTCCAGGCTTGAGGTGCAGAGGTAGGACGCCAGGTGGCACATCGGCGATGACTTTGCCGAAAGTTAGTGCTAGCCAGAAACAGGTTGTGGTCTGTGCACAGTTGCAGTAGACGGTCCCCGTTATCTGTCCTGCGACCAACAAGTCCCCATCGGCCACCTAAACGACTCTCTTCTGTGCCTAGACGCCCTACCTGAGCATTCAAATCTCCGGCTAATACAATATCTGTCGAACGCACTTTCTGGAGAAGAACAGATAACTGATGGTAGAATTCATCCTTGATTGCATCCGGGCTGCAGTCTGTCGGGGCATAAGCGATGACGAAGAGACATCGTTTCTCCCGCCGATTTCTCACTTTGATGGAACCTTCTAATTTAACAGCACACAACTGACTGTTAATGGGGATCTAATCGATTAGTGCTGCCTCAGCTCTAGCGCTTAGTGTGACACCAACGCCAGCAAGGCCAGACGAAGATCCCAAAGGGTCCCCGGATAAACGCACGTAAAACAAGCTTTTCGAAGCGACAGATGGAGAACAAATTTGTAGTACTTCACGAAAATCTTGAATACGTGTCTCGGTTAGACAACAAACGTCGATATTAAGACTTTCCAAAGACATAGCCAGCCATATCTGTTGTCCGACCTGCATAAGTGTGAACGTTTAAGGCAGCCAGTTTGAATGGTGCACGTGGTTTCAGTAAAACTGCTTCAGTATTCGTATTTGGTGGTAGCATACAATTTTCAACCAGGCATTGACTCAAGAACGTTTAGATAGAACCGAGTTTCCACCATAGGCGAGCTGCTGTCTAAGTCGAAAAATAAAAATAGGCAGAGTGGGAATAAAAGAGTGAATAAATGACATTTAAAAAAATAATAGTAATAATGTGAATCGTTTGATTGTTAATCGAAGCAAGGCAAGTATTTTTCATAAATATCGACATTTCATCATATTTGTGTGTGGGCTGTGATACTGCTCTGGTGCCCAGATCGAAGCAGGTGGTTTTCTTAAGGGGCCACACTCCGAGCTTTTGACCTAAAGGTCTGAACCACAAGGCAATGAAGCATCGTGAGGAGATGTAGTCCCATGGTAGCCGGTGACCAACGACTGGTTCATACGCCTTTTGTTCCCGCAGGATACTGGAGCCCATGTGCACCATTGGTTTAGGATCCGGTTAAAGCGCCGGACATTCGCTTTTCGTCCTCTCATTTTCGTAAGCAACACCCCCGCCACGAGAAGGCCGTTAGTAGAACTTCCCTGGCAGAGGCTGTATGCGCGTGGCCGTGTGAGAGCATTTCGAGAGGGAGGGCGGACATACCAGGGCATTTGGGAACCCTCTTAGGTTGCTTGATTACAGATTGGATCAACTGCTTTTCATATTTTTGCTGAGCTTCCGGGATTTTAATTATACACTTATTTCGTACCGACTTGTTGCGTTCCATTGTACTTACTGTGCCAAGACTGATGGCGATGTTCCAAAACTTCTTTTGTCTTGTTAAACGTCTAATACCCGATCTATTCAAGTATGACCGTGTTTCTTCCTTGGGATTGTTCAAGATATAAA